TTTTTCAGAAACGTCTTTCAAAGTTGTTTTTTTTGACACTGGCTGTTCTTTTACTCATTTCACTCTGTGGATCTGGCATCTCTGTATTACTTGCCTGAATGAAAAGTGGGCTATAATGTAATAGCCATGTGTTTGTGCGCATGCGTTTGTCTGTTAACAAACTATCTCATGAACTAACACAGATTTTAATAAAACTCAAAGTAATTGTTGGATGTTCATCTACAATGATAGAATGTTGTGGAAATAAGATTCTGTGATGGGTCTACTGAAATGTTCTCATTAGGTGTAACATAATTATTTTGTGGAGTATTAAAGTTTGTCTTTCAAGTGACACAGCCTTCCAGACAAGATGAGTCCACTGATGACCTTGTCATTTCTTCTGATAAACTTTGTTTAAAAGGCAGTCTTGGGTTAGGCCAGTGGTTCTCAAATGTTTTGTCCTGGTCCCCCTTTGGAGAAAAAAATTGTCTACCCTACATCCACACAAAACCCTACCCTGTATTTTTGTCCATACCACTGACTCCAAACTATACAGCATAGCAGGTCTCACTACTCTCTGGTAAACCTTTCTTTTGCCGCCACCCTTTCATCACAAATCACTCCTGAAACGTTTCTCGATCCACTCTATCGTCCCTGTACTCTCTTCTTGATCTCTTTACCACACTCTGTTTTCCTGTTTAATTGACCCAAGTATTTGAAGTCCTGCACCTTTGTGACCTGTGCTCCTTGTAGCCTCACTGTTCACCGGCCTCCCTCTCATTCACCCATGTACTCTGTCTTACTACGGCTGACTTTCATTCCTCTTCTTTCAGTGCATACCTCCACCTCTCCAAGTTCACTTCTGCCTGTTCCCTGTTCTCACAGGACTTCCTCCCAAGTTATCTTTCCCACTTCCTGGCTCACTATTTCTATATTTGTTCCCTGTCATTCGCTTTATTCATTAGCTCTTCAAAGTATGCCTTCCATCTTCCCATCACACTCTGGCAGAAGTGTTTTATGTCGAATGCACCCCCTGACACAACCCTCACCATTTACCCAAGCATGAGACTGGCACAAGAGATACACTGGCTTGTGTTAGTGGCTGGTTTATGTCACATTTCAAAATATTAATCACAGTACACAAAAAAGAGTTTAGAATATAATTTTAAAAAGTTCTCATTCTGATATAAGTTTTATGCTGAGTTACAAACAAAATTAGTTCAGTTTGTATGTTTTCTATCGTAATTATCATCCATTGGGCCCACTTTAATTTGTGCAAACACTGCAGTTTCTGTAGTTAAGTCAAGGTGTGTAAGCAAATTAGTTTTAAATTAGGACATTTTTTAGTGGAGTTTTAGTTGTTTTTGTTTAATTTGTCATTCTCTGCCTCTTGAGCATTTGTTTGTGCTGGCACAGAACTAAATTCATCTAAACAGAATTGTCATCAATGTATGTAAGCAGCTTTCTTTTCTGTGTCTCTTCCCCTTTTAAAATTAGATTTATTAATTCAGTTCAGTTCAATTCAGTTTATTTATATAGTGCAAAGTCACAACAGAAGTCGTCTCAGGGCACTGACCAGAAACATATTATTGAACTGTGTGCATTATAACATTAAGATTTTACAAAGCACAAATTGTATGTTTATGATTCTTATGTAGCTTGATCTATTGACCCTTAGTTCAGTCAATGTTTATATTGTTCTAAATGTTTGAGTCATTCCTTCATGACTCTGCTCATTGGTTTTCCAGCTGCAGCATTTGGTTCTCTCTCTCATAATGATGTAAATTAAAATTGCATCATATTTTTTTAAAGTGACTTGACATTTCCCTGTAATGAAGTAAAATGTTCGGCTGCATTACAGCGTGTGAGCTCCCCTCTGCAGGCAGTGGGATCCCCGACCAAGCTGCAGCGCCTCGGAACAGCCTCGGCTGACATGCCCAGCTACGCCACGCTGCAGAGAGTGTCTTCGCCCAAACATTCGCCCAGCCGACTCGCAAAATCCTACAGGTTGGTTTATCAGTGTTGTCGATGGATTTACACAACCACTGCTGGTGGTGACACATTACATAAGGTTTTTGCTAACCTCAAAGTACAAAGGGTCCATTCAGGGGAGGTCGATATGATCAATACCAATGATTCAACAATTACATCACGTCTGCTTTCAAAAGATAAATTCTGTTTCTGAGTGCAGTGTTTCTCCTCACATTAGGCTTTAGTGCTTTGACTTTAGTTTACCTCATTTTTCCATGATTTGTGGAACAGGTTTAAAGCTATCTGAGTTATAACTTAAGAATGCACATGTCTTATAATTACGGTACTTTCTTGATTTAGATCTCCCTGATGAGAAGAGACAACTATTGATGGTTTTTAAATTTGCATTTAGCAAAAAGTTGAAGACTTAACCTCGTCACCAATACGTATTTTTCAATCTCCCTAGGAGCATTTCTTAATGTAAAAAGACAAACACCCTTACGAAGTAGAAGACTGTTGATGGTATGGTATTGACAAACTCCTGCTGTTTAACCAAATGTGGTTCAAAACCACTGTATTTTATTTCAGCTTCAAGCAGAGATCCAAAGATAACAAAGCCGTGTGCAAGCACCAAAACCTCATGACTAAACAAATACACGGAATTACTTTGTAGGAATATTCATTCAGCTTTTTAACTGGAAGAAATCACAGACATTATAAAACAACAAACATGCCTGAAAATTAAATGAAATTCATGTAATGGCATAAAAAACTATTTTAAAATATTTGTACTCAATATTCATATAAAATGTATAAGTTCAAATAATTTGCATTTGAAACCTAATGGACATAAAAGAGAGCTTTGAAGAATCATTAGTTGTGGTTATTTATTTATGTATTTTCCCTTTCGGCTGTTCCATTGGACAGCACGGTGGCTCAGTTGGAAGAGCTGTTGCCTCTCAACGAGAAGGTTGCCGGATCAAATCCCGACCAATGATCTTTCTGGGTGGAGTTTTCATGTTCTCTCCGTGCATGCGTGGGTTTTCTCCGGGTTCTCCAGTTTCCTCCCACAGACCAAAAACATGCATGTTAGACTGATTGGTAACTCTAAATTGTCTCTAGGCGAGAGAGTGAATGGTCATTTGTCTCTATGTGTCCCTGTGATGGACTGGAGACCTGTCCAGGGTGTCCCCCCACCTCTCACATAGTGACTGCTGGATATGGGCACCAGTGACCCCTGCGACCTGAAAAGGAAGAAGTGGGTAAAAATCATGGATGGATGGCTGCTCCTCTTATGAGTTGCCACAGCAAGCAAACTTGCATGCAGTTTAGGCTTTTTTTTTTTTTTACGCCCAATGCCCTTCCTGATATAACCACAGGTAACCGAGCTACCTAAGCCCATATGTGTGGAGCACAGGGATGCAATTTTATACACCCATGGAGCAGATGGGGAAGTTAAGGTTCTTGCTCAAGGGCCCACAATTGGGCAAATGAAGGTGGAGGCAGATGGATCCATTCAGCATATATGATGTATTATCTGCCATATAGGAAAGTTGGTACTTGATTGAATGATGAATAGAATTATTCCATTTATTTAAGCTATACATGCTTATTCGTAGCTTATATAAAGACCAAAGACCATTTAAAAACAGTTTACATGACTGTGTGTTTCATTAATTGTTTCTCTTCTTAGCCTGATAAAAGGCTATAAACACATACAGAGCAGTTCTTATTGCACCATTATTTATCCAGCATTTCTGTTAATTTACTGTTTTAAACGTTCATTTACTTTATTTTATATTCAGAGTTTGAGCTTAAACTTATTAAAACATTTTTAAAGCTTTTGCTGCTTTAGTCCTAAGAGCCAATGTTTAATTTTATATTTATTCATTTTTAATAGTTGTAATTTCCCTTTTTTATGCATTAGTAAATAGTCAACAAAGTTCATGCTCAATCATCCAGGTATCAAATTCAGTAATTCTCAGTCAGGTCATCTGGACAGTTTCATTTTTATAGAGACGTTTCGCCCTCTATTCAGAGGGCTTTGGATAGAGGGCGAAACGTCTCTATAAAAATATACTGTCCAGATGACCTGACTGAGAAATACTGAATTTGATACCTGGATGATTGAGCATGAACTTTACTGCCTTGAACCACTTTGGCTGTAGCTGCCTGCCTGGGAGGAGTCGATGGGGGACAGGATGGCCCCCAGAAACCATCTTAGCTCCAGCAAACTGGTTGGTTCACTTAAGGAGTTTACTGCTTGGTGGGGAAACATTTTACTGGAACTCCTCGGACTGACGAAGCCTCTATAAAAAATAAACTGTCCAGATGACCCGACTGAGAATTATTGGATTAGTAAATAGTATTTTCTGACTGAAGCATGTTAGTATTAAATAAGACTCCCAACACTTGTCTTCACCTCTTTCCTGCAGCACTTCATCGCCCATCAATATGGTAGCATCAGGTGCTGCCAGTTCGTCCTCCCCGCTTTCTACGGCCGCCTCCCCTGGGGGAAACCATACCTCGTCGCCCCTCCACCAGCTCAGCTCAGCGGTGGGAAGCTACGCCACGCTGTCACCCACTAAGCGCATGCTGCATCATATCGGAGACGGCTATAAGATCTCTCACGAGCTCTACGCTAACGCAACCCTGAAACGGCCGGGTAGCCTGGCAGGTAGAGGTCAAGACATTTTCTTTACTACTCTTTGTGTGTTGGTCATGTTGTGGAATTATTTCTTTAAATCATCTCTTTCAGTTGAAAATACAACTCATCTTTACATTAACTTAATGTCTTATTTTGGGATAACGTTGATATTATTGTCCTATAACTGTGCTATTTAATTTAATTTAATTTACGTCTAACATTTCCTGGTAAACAGTAAGTTTCTGTTCAGCTGAAGTCCCTTTTCATCAACAATCTCATCAAATTATGTGTTTACTTAAGGGGCTGCTTTTATTTTAGTTTATGCTACTAAATGTGACATGTACCCACTTTCCATTCATGCACGAATAATATTTACCAGCTTGAGGACACGGTTATGGAAGAAAACACATGCTGTCCCATGTTTGGATGATTTGGCTTGAGGTTTTCACTTGAATTTTAAAGCCTATGAATAAATAAGAGTATTTTGTTTGTCTGGACATGTTTTTAGAAAAAGATCTCAGCATCTGCTAAGGTTAGGTTTGTTCTAAGACAATATGCTGTTTAACTACAACTTGTTTTCTTTGTTAATCATTGAGAATATCTCGACACGGCTTTTATAAGCTAAACCTCCATCATGTGTTTGTATGTAGGCTCCAGAGGTTCCTACAGTAGCCAGCACACTCATCTGGGCGCTGAACTTCGACCCCTTCAGTCCCCTGAACACCACATCGACCCCATCTATGAAGACAGAGTCTACACTAAACCCAACCTGAGAGGACAAGGTAAGCTCAAATATACTGACAGAGGTTAAGTGTTCAGGGCATTGAGGGGATGTCTGCAAATATAGAGTCTATGAAACAAAATCCCACAAGAGAGGACACAGACCAGAGCTCTGATGGATGGAGACTGGGCAGAAAGTAGACAAAGGAAAAAGAACAGGCATGGGTTGAATAGAATTTCACTAAAAAATACAATAAGAAGGCAAGTCAGCAGCTCTTAATGTTTTCAGCTTTCACATTATTTAGTTTATAACAGTTAAGTCATCTCAACTGTTAATAATGATAATTGTAGCAATCGGTTAAGTGTGCAGTTCACTCATTATAGTACTAAAACATGACTATGTTACTCAAAATATCACATTTTAAAGGGGCACCTCACCAGTGTTACTCATGAACGTCATTAACCTTTAACAGACTAAGCAGGGCTGAACTTGGAAAAGCAGCTGGATAGTTTTGTCCCTGCAGCAGCTGGATTTGGTGAGTTGCTGATGTGAAACCCTGAGTTGAGCCGTCGACCATGTTGGTCTTTTTACTGGAGACAGAAATGGTCTTTCATGTGAACAGTTGGCACATTCTGGGAATGTTTCAGATGTTTATAGAGCAAATGTGTCACCAAAACATGTGCTTATTGTATTTTAATGCAGTTTTCCAATGAGTTTAACTTTGGAAATGGTGGAACAAATTTTATGAAGATCTAAAATTGCACACATCTTTCTTGATCAAATCTTTCTGTATGAACATCAAAAGGTCTTGGCCCACATACCATTGTTCTATTTCTGGACTTCTCATCTGCTTTTTATTATATCCAGTCTCATGCTTTAGCTGGGAAATTGCTTATTGATCTTCATCTTGATTTAGATTTAGGAGACTAGATTCCAACTTGTGGGATTCAGAAGTGTGAAGAAAATGGCTTTCCATCAAAACGTCTTTCCTCCTTCACCAACTCACCTCAGAGTTCAATCAGTCTTATTCTTTTCAGTCAGTACCTGTAGACTCAAAGGTAAACTGTGAGACGCACTAAAGTACAGTAAGTTTGGTATCACTTTACAGTAAGGCTCCCCTTACAGATGGCTATAAATAACATAGTTTATAGATATGTTAAATCCTCTATAAGCACTTTATTACTAATTAATAACTGCTTATTATGCATTAATTAAGAATAATAATGTCTTTGTTGTCTGCTGTTGACATCACTCTTTGTTAAAATCTTGTCTCTCTTGTAAATGAGTCCTGAAGGCTCAATGGGACTAACCTGTATAAATAAAGGTTGAATGAATGAATTATTAATTAAGGGTGACAGAGACAACACGGACCAGGTTGTTGCCAAATAGTGACTTTTTACTTTTTTTGACCAAATAACCCTCTCGTTGGGAAATAGTTTGTGCATACTTGTGTATTTTAATAATATGCTTGAACTGTCACTGATTCCGATGGAAAAATTCTGACGCAAAATAAAAAGTTGTTTTTTAAAAGGGACTGCAATGTTTACAATGATTGCAATGATTGATAGATTATGTTTGTATAGGCTAATTTAAATCTCAGCTACAGTAAAAAAAAATAAAAATCATTGACTCATCTGTCCAGCACAATTCATAAATAAGGCATGATTTTTCAAAATAGGCTGTGCAAAATTGGGCCACACAACTCACTAGTGGCTTGTTCACAAACACCTAATTCAATGAGACTATAAATTAAAATTATCCAATTATTTAACAAGTTTAAGTTACTAACTAGTCTCCGACAAGTCTCTGTGAGGTACTGGGATCAGATTTAAAACAATCCAATTGAAATAAAACAGGAAAAAAAAGTTTTGGTTTTTTTGTACAATAATTATCCTGATAACTTCTTGCAATTTTAATATTTTGTGATTAATTGTAACATGTTCTGAATATTCATGTATTTATATGGAAACAATAAGTTTGCCATCTATGTTTATAAAAAAACCTGAACTAAATACAACTTATGATTGTTTTGCTGTTCAAGATTACTGTTGAGTTTCCTAAAAACAAGTTAATGGCTTCATAGAAATTAGTTCTACTTTTTATAAAAGACACATAAAAGGAAATTTGAGTGAGACCTGTTGCAGTTTAATTTATGCACTAAACAGAAAAACAATGAATAACAGAATAACAAGTAGGACTAACCACCTAACTCCTCCCCAAGAATAAAACGATGGCTCAAATGAACCAAATAAAAAGAGAGGAACCATGCACAGCCCGGTCCTGCTGCAGCAGCCATTGTTTAACCATGAGCTTTTTCCTGTCAGACAATGTAATGTACACAAGAGATTCTTTCTTTCCATCTGATCGTGTTGTGCTTTTAACAAGCCTGGGTAGGCAAATCCAATTGGGGTCTCAGTGGCAATTTGTCTTTCAGGCACAGTTTGTTAACTAATTAGTTTCAAAGATGAAAATTAATCTCAATTAATCCCATGGGTATTATCCTGGGTGCTTCGCAATCAGTAGAAATCAGCCATGTCCTGAAGTGTTGATGCAATGCCACAGGTTTAGGCTACTCTGGTAAATGTTGCAGTAAAAATGCACCGGGAGGGATGATAAATTCATTTTATTCAATTTTTTTTTTTTCCAGAATATAATTTGATATAGATTATTTTCAAGGTTTATGGTTGTTTTTGTGATAATACAGTAGTCCCTCGTTTATCGCAGGGGATCCGTACCCTGAAGCCCCGCGATAAGTGAAAAACTGCAAAG